AAGGGCTTTCTTGTGTTGCCTAACAAAAATCTCCTATCCGGGCACTGCAACCTGGAGGCAGGTCCGCTACCCTACACCCTCACCTCTCTCCCAAGTGCAGAAACACCCCCGTGTCCTCCGAATCCTCAAGCAAAGCCCACACGTTTGAAGAGCTTCTGGAGGCCCTGGGTCTGCTGTGCCCTATTTGTAAGCACAACCAGGGCTCTTCCGGTGTCAGTGGCGGCCTTCACGCTAGTCCCCAGTGCTGCCTGCACAGAGCTCTGGATCTTCTTTCAAGAACTCTTCCGCTCCAATTCTGTCTCCTACCCAAGGTCTCGACCCTTAGCTGAATTTCAATTAGTTGCCCTGAGGATCCGGGAGGAGACTCATTTCAGAGGAAAATGCCTTCTGCTAGGCAGCTCCAATCCAGCCTGAAGTTAGTGTCTATGCATTTCAACTCTGAGAACTGCCACTGCTCACCGGGCCTGGAGAAATGTCTTTTGCGATGGCCCATATTTGCCATACTTGAGACAAGCCTCTCCGTAATTCTGAAATTGTTTCTCCCAAATCTCATTTTCAAGACAATCACTGCTGAGTAAGTTTTCTTCCAAAGCTGCCTTGAGAATTGCTTCTTGAAACAAGAATAATGATTGCTTTTCTGAAAAATGCAGGTTGCAAACTCTGACAGCCGATGTGCAGGACAGAGGAGAGGGAGGTTAAGAGTTCCCCTCTGGGTTCTATGCGTGATTCGTTGAGAACATGGGGCAACAATCAGGGGCGCTGGTCTTCGTTGTCATCGGTGGAATGGGACAGTATCTGGTCTCCTCTCTACCTTATTGGGTGTAGGGATGGCACCACACTGGGTTAATATTTTTGCTCTCTGGAGAAACAGTTGCACTTGCAGAAATGTCACTCTTATAAGATTTATCTATTCTTTCTCAAGAACGTTTTTATGGGGGTGAGGGGGAGGGTCATGTTATTTTCATCCCTGAGGATAACATTCAGGAAATTGGAATATTAGGAGTGCAAACCATTAGAGCCCAGGACTGGCCGTGCTGGATAATGAGCTCCTTTTAGCAGGAAGTTTGCTCTTTAATACAATGGAAAAGTAATTTATTGAGAAGTGTCTGTGGGGACGGAGAGGAGTGATGCACTTCTGCAGATGTTTCAGGTAACCAGCTGAGGCGAGGAGGGACAAGGCTGTTCTAGGAGCCTGCGGATGGGGGTCTTGTCTCCTCTGCAACCAGCTAGCTGTGGCTCGCAGTTAAGCCTGCCCACTGCTCCAGGCCTTGGGTCTCCCACTTGTAAAATGAGCAGGCTGAGGTACAGCTGTGATTTCCACACATTTTAAAGCAACAGAGCTCCTCTTAGTGAATGCTTTTCAGAAACCAAATACAGACCATGCCGGGAGAGGTACCTGAACCCCACCTGCACCTGTAAGGTTCTCCCTTCCCCTCACAGAGCTCCCTGAGGCATTCCTGGGCCCTCACCTGCTCTGAGGTGCATGGTGCCAGCTAGTAGCTTAGATGACCTTGAAATTCTTTTGTCATCGAATAAGGAGAAATGTTTGTTTCTAATCTAGCTGACGCTTGGTTTCTTCTGTCTTTGGAGCGCTGATGCCTTGTGATGCTCAGAGAGGGACCTGTTAAGTGCTGTGGGTCCAACCCCAGGACAGCTGATGCTTCAGAAAACAGGTGACAGGAACACAAGATGTGGGCTAGCACCAGTCACAGAAGAAACTGCTGGGTCTTCCACAGCCACAGCTATCTTGCTGGCTGAAAATGACCTTGTGGCTAGTGATGTGACTAGCTGTGTGTGTGTGACTGTAGCTGCCATATAGTTCCTTCCTCTCTCCTTCCCTCCTCATTCATTCATTCATTCATTCATTCATTCATTCATTCATTCATTTCACTCACTAATTCACAAACAGTTACTCATCCTCTGCTTCTAGACCACAAATGGTCTAGTGAGGAAGACTGACAATGAAGAGGTCAACAAATAGCCATGCGATCACACATGCAGCACAGTGACTAGTGGTGGTGACGGGGGACCTGACTGAAGACGGTGCGCGAGGAGCCAGCCGTGGGAAGAGCTGGAAGAGCTGGGAAGAGGATGTCCAGGTGGAGGGAGCAGCGCGGGAAGATCCCCAGGCAGGAAGGAGCTGGGCGTGCTCTGGGACAGAAAGCCCCGCTGTGTCTGGTGCACAAGGAGCGGCAGAGCCAGCGAGTGAGTGCAACCCTGGCTGCCACCGTCCTCGGGAACGACCTGCAATGAGCCTGCTCAGAGCAGGCAGCCACGCCTGAGGGAGGGCTCGGTGCTCGCCCCAACCAAGGCGCAGAGGCGGTTTATGCTGCAGCAGAGTGCATGGAATCCAGTAATCACGTGGGCAATGCGCTCGCTTATTTTCCTTTTCACTGTCCGGCTGCAAGCCCTGGGCCTATGGTGGTTGGCCCAGACGGGGAGATGGTGAGGCTGGGAGAGGAGACTGATAAACGGAAGCAGAAGAGGGGGAGAACAAGGCTGTGGTGGAGAACATCCACACCCTCGTATTCCCAAGGACCACGTACAGATGTGAAAACCGAACAGTGAAGAAGGCAGACAGGGAAAAAGTGACTCATTTGGAGTATGGTGTTGGAGGAGAGCTCTACAGATACCCGGGACCACCAGAAAGATGAAGAAGTGGGTCCCAGAGCAAATTAAGCCTGAAACATCACTGGAGGCAGAGACGACAAAAATGAAGCTGCCCCACTTTGGGGACATCACGAGGAGGCAGGGTGCTTTGGCAAAGACAATGATGCTGGGAAAAACAGAAGGCGGCAGGAAAGGAGGAAGACCAATCGCGAGCCAAACTGACTCACTGAGAGAAGCCGTAGGCAGAGCATGGCGGACAACACTCCTTTGCAGGAACACCAGGAGGTGGAGCCAATTCAACAGCACACAGCACAGAGCAAGGGTCCTGGGCTCTGAGTCCACAGGCCTGGGTGTTCCACTCACTGGCTGTGGGACTCTGGGCAAGACACTTAACCCCAGTCCCTCGCCGGAGACTCACCATCCCAAGGCCTCCCTCAGAGGTTGTTGCCAAGAATAAATAGGATGATGTATGGGCCTGGCACATTGAAATGGCCCCCTAAGTGGTGAAGGAGCAGGAGACAGTTTAGGTGGGAGGTGACACAACAGAGCTTTGTTCAGTGTTTTACAATTCGCAAAGCCCTTTCACCCACAGAGAGTGGAAGACTATACCTGCACCTCCACATCTGTACCTGCACCTCTACATCTCTACATTTACCCCCGACTCCCTCCCCGACAGCCAGACATAAATATCAATAACAATACCAAGCTTGTTTATTTCTAGTGGTCACTACGTGCCAAGCACCATCCTAAGCACTTTACATATAGTTCAGTGAACAGTCACAGCCCCTGAAGAGGGAAGTACTGTTGTGGTCCCATTTTACAGATGAGGGAACTGAAGCACAGAAGTTAGGTGACTGGGTCAAGCTCACAGATCTGATAAATCAAAGGACAAGATCAAAGATGTAACTACTGCCAGACTATCTGCTAAAGACCAGGGCTATGCAGACAAGGAGACACACCCCTGGCTTCAGTGCACTCACGGACCTCACTTCAGGGACCCAAGTAAATCTCACAGAAGGTGCTAGTTGTTGCTGTAACCATGGTGGCTAAGTGTTAAGGGAACAGAGGGAAAGAGTTCTGATCATTCATTCATCAAATGTGTATGTTTGATGAGTGAATAAGACCAATGTGGCGGCCCCTGCTCTTAGACGGTACAGTCTAGTAGGGGAGACATACAACCAGGCAATGTTTACACACATAATGTCTACACGGAATACTTATTTGCAATTTGATTCTGCCTGTGATAAGCACTAAGAAGGAAAAGTAAAGGGTCCCATGAGGACGAGTGTAGGCCAAGAGTTAGGGGAGGCTTTATGATACGTGTGTCTAGGGGTGTGTGTGTGTGTGTGTGTGTGTGTGTACACACACTCTCACACACACTCACACATCCCACTGAGGCCTCTGTGCTAAAGGCACGTAATTAAGAGTGTAGCACTGAAAATGGGTTGACAGGGAGGTCAGCTTAGTTATTCTGGAGAGCTCTTAGACCCCACCCCCACATTCACTAAGTATTAGTGCTTCTACAAGAAGGTGAGCAGATGAAAGGATTTCTCGTGATTTGTTGCAACTGGTGAAACCTCTGATGCAAAGAATAAGCTTGAGGCTACTGGCTGCAGGGCAGTGTTGCCCAATGGTTGAGATCACATGCTTGGGACAGACAGACATGGTTTGGTCACATCACCACTTAAGAGCTGTGTGACCAAAAGTAAGTCACTTAACCTCTGAGCCTCAGTTTTCTCATCTGTTAAATGGTGTGGCAGATGCTGTAGGGGACTCACTTAACACCTTCTCTAACCCACTTCTTCCCGTCCTGCCTCTATTAGAGAGACCCCAAACCAAAGCACCCCCATGGCCCAGCCACCCTGGCAGAAGGGGTGCCCAATGCCAGAGTTGTGGCCAAATGTCTCTCCTGAATAAGAAGGCAAAGCCTTGAAAGGAGGAGACTTTGTCCTCTTCACTCTTCCTCCTTCTTCCTGAGGCACCGCAGCCATTTTGTGACTACGAGGATGAGGAAGCGGAAAGAGAAACCTGGTTGGTTCTTTGATGATAACCTTGAGCAGCTGTACCAATCCCGAATCTCATTATAAAACGAATGATTGAATAAATAAATAAATGAAGTAACCCCTTACTTGTTTGAACTACTGTTTATCAAGTTTTCTGTTGTTTGCAGTTTAATGCATTTCTAGAGTGGTACCAATGGGATAAGGATAGAGCCTACGTCATGGGTTGCCACGAGGACGCAACAAGATAATGTGTACGTACCAGTCGCAGCAAACATTGGTAAGTGGAGACTATGTTGGTGCTGCTGAAGGTGGGCAAACCTGCCACCCCCGTGGCAAGTGAGTCACTGGTTGGAGCATGGGGGGCAGGAGCTGGGTGAATGGCCCTACCTCGATCACTGAAGTCGTCAACCAGCACAATCTCGGCGATCAGCTCCGGGGGCGAGCGGTTCAGCACACTGTGGACGGTGCGCAGGAGGGAGGACCAGCCCTCATTGTGGAAGGGGATGATGATGCTGGTGTTGGGAAGCGTCTCCAGGTAGCGCTTGCTGTTGCAGCTAGAGAGAGACACGGGGACAGGAAGAGGACAGTTGTCAAGAGAACGCAGGCTTGTGGTTCGGCTAACTGCAAATCCCCTTCTTCTCCAGCCTTTAGAGAACAAGTGACAGCCAGAGACACCTTTGTCACTGCAAAACTGTCTCCTACTGGCATCCTGAAGTCCTGCCTCCAATCCCTGCGTACATACTCCACAGGGATAAGTATAGGAGACCCAAAACGATGCCAGCCAATGCTGATGGGAATGTGGTGCCCATCCTCATGACTCCCGTGGAGGACAGCCTGTCAGTAACTCTGTGCCGCCCCTGCGCCCCCCCTCCCCCCTGCCCGCCTTCCCGCACACTCCTCCCCAATGGAGGACAAACCATTTATGCATGAGTTTGGAAGAATAAACTGGGCCTCTCCCTTTCCCTCCCTGGGCTCTACCAGGAAAGGGCGCATTTTCTCCTCTGCTCTCCACCAGCCCCAGGGTAAGCTCCAGGGTGGAAGGCCCTGCCTCTGTGGGCCTTTAACATCATTATAACACCCAGAAGAATGACCAGAGTCCCTTAATATCATCAAATACCTACTTGGTGTTCAAATTTCCCGGATCTTCTTGTGTCTTTTTACAGTTGGTTTATATAAATCAGCACCAAGACAAGGCTCATATTCTGCCTTTAGCTAATGTGTCTCCTAAGTCTCTCTTTTTTTTTTAAATTGCAGAATCTAAATGGTGGGAACTTGAGCTTTCAGCATACAATTCTTTCAACTTTTCTGTATGTTTGACAATTTTCAGAAAGAAATGTTGGGAGGAAAAGTGGGTCAGGGTTCATGAGTTTCAAATTCTCTCCGCTGGAGGCACCGTGGGAGGCTGGGGTAGAGGATTAAACTCTTGGGCTCTGGCGGTGAGCTCAGCTGCAGCTGTGTGAATGAACTCCTCTAATTCCGGTTTGGATGGACAAGTCAGCCCCTCTCTTTCCCCTTGGGACTCTGGAATTCTTGCATGTCCCCTCGTGCTCCTCCACCTGGCTGGACTCTTTATATCCAGGCTTCATACAGCCCCTCGCCTCCCCTTTCCTCGCCTCTCTCATGCCTTTGATCATTTCAGCCAGCCTTCTCCGGGAGCCTTCTCCAACTTCACTCTATCAGCCTTCAAAAATAAACGGAAGCACTTTTTTCTTAAAAAATCCCTTTCCCTTAACTCAGCTGGGTCCTCTGTGGCCAAGAAAAACAGGTGACATCTCGTTTTCTACAAAAGGTCCTGCCTTCCCTCCAGTTTCACAGGAGGCTGGTGTGATTGAAGCGGCATGGGGCGGGCTGAGGGGGTTAGCTGTCATACATTGCCTGGAGTCCAAGGGGTGAAATACAATAGAGCTATTACCCAGTGGAGAGCCCTGGCTCTCTGAAACCCCAGAGCTGGGCCCCACAGCCTGCCAGTAGGTAATGTAGGAACAGCACCGTATAATAAGGGAAGTAGACAATGCGACAACAGGCTAAATTCACTTCTAATCTAATCCAATCCTGGAACTAAAGATTACCCAGAACTCAACTAAAAGGCTCAGCTTGAATGATAAGCCTGAACGTGTGCCTTTTTTCTTCTTTTGGTCTCCTTTCTTTTTCTCCCCCTTCTCTCCATCCATCCATCCATGCATCCATTTAATTACTAAATAGGCAAAAAATGGCATTTTGACTTTTGCCATCGGCACTAGTCAGTAGTTTGGTCCCAGCTTAGTAGAGGCTCTTTGTTTAAATAAAAATATTTGTGTGACATGCTGACATGAATCCCTCTAGTGTCCAGCAGGAAACTTAGTTCCACAGCCCAGCCCACTGGCCACCTTTCTGTTGCCAAAAGCCCCGGACACCCACCTTTGCCACAAGCCCCGTTTCTCCTGTTCTTTTTAGGCCTCAGCTCCAGCAGATAGAGGAAGCCTGGGGATGGTGGATAGAAGGCCACCACCTACCACAGTGACCCCCACGTAGCAGTCCCCTTTAAGACCTGTCTGCACACTGTGTATTGAGACCTCAACACTGGCTGGTGGCATACGCCCAGCTCCTTTGTGTGTGGTAAACACAGAGCATCCCTCGCCAATGCCTTCAGACATCAGCCCAGAGAATGTGGTCTCCAAGAAGGGGAAACTAGGGCACTGCTCCCCATGAAAGAGGCTCAGTTTGGCTATGATCAGACAACAATAACCTCTGCCTCCCCACGGTGCATTGTGCCTGATGGTTCTCAAAGCACTCTCCCTTCTCTCTCCTCTGAATCGGTACCAGCCCCCAAGGAGGGGGATGGAAGAGGGAGTGCTCACCCCATTTCCCACAAGGAAAACAGAGCCCAGAAAGGTAAGTGACTTGGATCTAGGACTCAAATACAGATACTACCTATTTAAAATAACATTTATATGTGTGTGTGTTTCTTGATAAAAGTGGTAAATGCTCAGTGTAAAAGCCTAGAAAACACAGAAAAGCTGAAGGACAACTGATAATGATAGCAGCATCCTGCCCAACGCGTACACCGGCGGCGGACCTCTGCTCTCTTCTCTGAACATATACCTTTCTACAACACGACATCCAAATCTTTGTGGGTTCCCAGATGCAGTGTGGCTTCCTGTGCCCATCCTTGGGCAGGATCAGATAGAGCAGAGGGTCAAAGCAGTGACATGGGGAACCTTCCAGCACACGATCTGGATGCCCTCTTGGCCCAGTATTTCTGGCCCAGATGGCCCCATAAAAGAAGCATCTTACAACTAAGACCTGCGTGAAGAACGTTCTGCCCTTTGCACAAGCACTCCCGCCATCATCTGGGTCACACACAGCCTGGTAAGGTCCCTACTCGGACAGGGCCAGGTTAAGTTAGGGGTGCAGAGCATGAGGTCAACAAGGCACAATCGGGGGTGTTCCCCGCCACACACTGAAGCAGTGAAAGTAGTACAAAGTGAATGTACATCAACAGGGAAAGTTTCAAAAAATGCAAAAATTCAAACTATAGAATACTGATAAGCAGTTGCAAAATAAGGTGGAAGATGACAATGGTGATAAGAGAAACTACCTGTTAAGGATTCCCATTATGCCAGGTAATGTTCTAAGCACTTTGGATGGATTAATGTCATTTCATAGTCATAATGCTCTTAGGAGGCAGGGACTGTCATTGCCTCCATTACAAAGAGGAGACAAGGCAGCGAGAAGTTAAGTAATCTGTTAAGGTCAAATAGCTGGTAAGGGCTGGAGCCTGGATTTAAACCCATCTGCCCTTCATACATATTATGTTCGTACAGGGCTAATGTGTCAATGCTATTCATTATATAAGCAAAGAGAACAAACAGATCAAAGCCAAAAATTGAGGTAACTAAGTAGGAGCCTGAAGCCCTGGCTCTAGTGTCTGCTCTGCATGCAACAATGCCAGTCTTCTTGCTGGGCCTTACTTATGTCAATAAGGGGGCCACAGCAATGGTAGGGCTGTGTGCCTGCTCCGTATCCCCTCTCCTATTCCTGTTTTCCTAGTCTTATAGTAATAACGTCCTGACTTTCCATGGGGAATCTCCCACCCCTCATTTCTATAAGGTTTGGGGGGAGATCCTTGCTTTCCTTGAGGATGAGCAAGGGAGCGTGGCTCAGCCAATCAGATCATTGCATCTCCCCAGCCACAGAGATGGGTTCAAGGATGGGCACCGGCAAATCGGAGTAAATCTTTGCTGAGACACTGGGAGCGAGGTAAGCTCTTTTCTGCTGAGACTCAGCATGCGAGGATATCAGTGTGGTCTGCCTGGGACCACCATGTAGACTGTCCCCTGTCTTAAAATGATTGACAGAACAGAAAACAGAGCCAAGAGCTGGAGAGAGGGGCTCCTGCTGGCATCATTTAGGGACCTGAACCCAGCTATGGCTGAAGTCAAGGTCTACTTCTGGCCTTTTCAGTTCATGAGCTGATACATTTTCTTTTCTAAGTCAGCTGGAGTTAGGTTTCTGTCATTTGTAACTAAAAGAATCCCTGCTGATACAACTGGATGCTCTTTAAGCCTTTCAGTCGAATGAATCTGTTTTGGACCTAATGATAGCTTCTGAAGGGCAGAGGCCGAAACTCCTGTTACCGGGAGTGGTCTCCAACCTGAAGGCGCAGCCTCTCTTTCCAGCTGCAGGAAGAGAGCTCTGCTCATTCGCTGACTGGGAGAAAGCGGCCTGGGCGGTGGGCGGCGGGAGGCAGCGGAGGACTGGGAGCTGACCGAGCTCATTTGTGACTGAGCGGCCCCCAATTTAACATTCCCTAGAGGATTCTGAACTCTTGGAACACAAAGATGAAATTAATATACTGGCTCTTGAAATGCGCCCTCAGGGCTCACTGCAGGAACACTAGAATATAAAAGAAAATAAGTCAAAATCAAAGGGAAGCGTTACAAAAATCTTCCCTCTGAGTCAACTTTGAAGTAGAACAACCCAACCAGTTCGAAGGAACTATAAAACAATTTAATTCCAACCAACAAACCTGACATTGTGTGTGCCTGGACCTGGGCTCAAATCCTGGCCGCTACCTTCTAGCTGTGAGACCCAGGGACGAGTTCCATCCCTTGCTGAGCCTCAGTTTCCTTATCCGGGAAAGGGGGATGGTAACACCACGAGGATGTCATGACAGCCAAACAGCCCTGTGGGGGGAGAAGTAGCTGGCGCTGTCCTTGGAGACAGTAGTCAGTGTGGAGAACTCATAGCAGAGCATGCTCCTGACTTCAATTCTCCTGGAGTCTGGGGTGGCCATCCCAGGACAGGGCATGAGGCTTCATAAGGCTTAAGTAAGAGATTTGCGCCGAAATCGGTTTGGCTCAGTGGATAGAGCGTCGGCCTGCGGACTGAAAGGTCCCATGTTTGATTCCGGTCAAGGGCATGTACCTTGGTTGCGGGCACATCCCCAGGAGGAGATGTGCAGGAGGCCGCTGATCGATGTTTCTCTCTCATCGATGTTTCTAACTCTCTATCTCTCTCCCTTCCTCTCTGTAAAAAATCAATAAAATATATTAAAAAAAATATATTTTTTTTA